ATACCTGTCAATCACACCTGGCTCCTCCCACACACCTGTCAATCACACCTGGCCCCTCCCCCACACCTGTCAATCACACCTGGCCCCTCTCCCACACCTGTCAATCACACCTGGCCCCTCCCCCACACCTGTCAATCACACCTGGCCCCGCCCCCAGAGGAGCTCCGCGAGCCCCGCCCGGAGCCGAGGCCCAACGGGCGCAGGGACGAGAAACCGCGGTTCATGTTCAACATCGCCGACGGTGGATTCACAGGTGGGGACACCTGGGGACACCTGGGGACACACCTGGGACACCTGGGGACACCTGGGGACACACCTGAGACACCTGGGGACACACCTGGGGACAGCTGGACATGCTTGGCCACACCTTGGGCACGCCTGAGCTCATCTGGGTCACACCTGGGTCACACCTGGTGACACCTGGGAGGGACATGGGGACACCCGAGGTTACCTGTGCACACCTGGACACACCTGGGTCACACCCAGGTCATACCTGATCACACCTGGTCACACCCGAGCTCACCTGGGTCACACCTGAATCACACCTGGGGACACTTTGGGCACAGCTGATCATACCCAAGCTCACCTGGATCACATCCGGGGGGACATGGGGACACCTGGATCACACCTGGGGGTACCTGAATCACACCTGGGTCACACCCGGTCACACCTGAGCTCACGTGGGTCACACCCGGTCACACCTGGTTACACCTGGTTACACCTGGTCCCAGCTGAGCTCACACCTGGGTCACACCTGGGGGGGACATGGGGACACCTGGTCAAACTTGGTCACACCCGCTCACACCTGAGCTCACCTGAGCTCACCTGGGTCACACCCGGTCCCACCTGAGCTCATCTGGGTCACACCTGGGTCACACCTGGGTCACACCTGGGTCACACCCGGTCACACCTGAGCACACCTGGGTCACACCTGGGGACACCTGGGTCACACCTGGGTCACACCTGGGGATACCTGGGGGGGACATGGGGACACCTGAGCTCACCTGAGCTCACCTGGATCACACCTGGGTCACACCCGGTCACACCTGAGCTCACCTGGGTCACACCTGGGGACACCTGGGTCACACCTGGGTCACACCTGGGGATACCTGGGGGGGACATGGGGACACCTGAGCTCACCTGAGCTCACCTGGATCACACCTGCTCACAACTGAGCTCACCTGGGTCACACCTGGGTCACACCCGGTCACACCTGGTTCACATCTGAGCTCACCTGGGTCACACCCGGTCCCACCTGAGCTCACGTGGGTCACACCTGGACACACCTGGGGGTACCTGTGTCACACCTGGACACACCTGGGGGTACCTGTGTCTCACCTGGACACACCTGGGGGTACCTGTGTCACACCTGGACACACCTGGGGGTACCTGTGTCCCATCTGGACACACCTGGGGGTACCTGTGTCACACCTGTGCACACCTGGGGTCACACCCGGTCCCACCTGAGCTCACGTGGGTCACACCTGTGTCCCACCTGGACACACCTGTACACACCTGAGCTCACCTGTGTCCCCGCCCCCGCAGAGCTGCACACGCTGTGGCAGAACGAGGAGCGCGCCGCCATCTCCTCGGGGAAGCTCAACGAGATCTGGCACCGGCGCCACGACTACTGGCTGCTGGCCGGCATCGTCCTGTATCCTCGGGAATAACAACGGGAATTCCGGGAAATCCGGGAATTCCGGGAGTTTCAGGGTGTTCCCGGTGGGATTCGGGGTGTTCCCAATGGGGTTTGGGTGTACCCAGGGCTGGGGACGGTGACAGCGCGGTGAAGGTGAGGCTGATCCTGGGGACATCGTCCTGTATCCTCGGGAATAACAACGGGAATTCCGGGAATTTCGGGAATTCTGGGAATTTCAGGGTGTTCCGGTGGGATTCGGGGTGTTCCCGGTGGGATTTGGTGGGGCTGGGGACGGTGACAGCGCAGTGGGGGTGGCGCCGGTGCCGGGGACTGCTGGCCGGCGTCGTCCTGTATCCTTGGGGATAACAACGGGAATTCCGGGAATTTCGGGTGTTCCTGTTGGGATCTGGGGTGTTCCTGTTGGGATTTGGGGTGTCCCTGTTGGGATTTGGGGTGTTCCTGTTGGGATTTGGGGTGTTCTTGGTAGGGTTTGGGGTGTTCCCTGTGGGATTTTGGGTGTTCCCATGGGAATTTTGGGTGTTGCTGGTGGGGTTTGGGGTGTTTTTTGTGGGATTTGGGGTGTTCCAGTTGGGATTTGGGGTGTTCCTGTTGGGGTTTGGGGTGTTCCTGTTGGGATTTGGGGTGTTCCTGTTGGGGTTTGGGGTGTTCCTGTTGGGATTCGGGGTGTTCCTGTTGGGGTTTGGGGTGTTCCTGTCGGGATTCGGGGTGTCCCCAGCGTGTGCTGGGGGTTGTGACCTCCCTGGAGTGGTGACAGTGACAGCAACGGGAGGGTGACACGGTGACAACGTGACACGGTGACAGCCTGAGGTGGTGACAGGGCGACAGCGTGACCAGCTGGTGACACGTGAGGCGGTGACCCACTGACAGTGTGACATGGTGACAATGTGACACGGTGACAGTGACACGTGAGGTGACACGGTGACAACGTGACACGTGAGGTGACACGGTGACAGTGTGACACGGTGACAATGTGACACGGTGACAATGTGACACGTGAGGTGACACGGTGACAGTGACACGTGAGGTGACACGGTGGCAGTGACACGGTGACAATGTGACACGGTGACATTCCTTAGCGCTCAGCCACGGCTTTGGGGTCAAACCTGGTGACACTCGGGGTGGTGACAGGGTGATACAGTGAGAGTGTGACAGGGTGACACGGTGACAATGTGACACGGTGACACACACGGTGACACACGGTGACAATGTGACACGGTGACACGGTGACAGGGTGACACGGTGACACACACGGTGACACACACGGTGACGTTCCTTAGCGCTCAGCCACGGCTGTACTCGCTGGACTGACATCCAGAACGACGGCGCCTTCGGGGTCAGGGTGACACTTGGGGCAGTGACAATGTTACAGTGTGACAGTGAGACACTGTGACACGGTGACAGGGTGTCAGGGTGACACACACGGTGACACGGTGACACACACGGTGTCAGGGTGACACACACGGTGACGTTCCTTAGCGCTCAGCCACGGCTTTGCGATCAAACCTGGTGACACTTGGGGCAGTTACAGGGTGACACAGTGACAGGGTGACATGGTGACAGGGTGACACAGTGACAGGGTGACACGGTGACACACACGGTGACACACGGTGACAATGTGACACGGTGACACGGTGACAGGGTGACACGGTGACACACACGGTGACACACACGGTGACGTTCCTTAGCGCTCAGCCACGGCTGTACTCGCTGGACTGACATCCAGAACGACGGCGCCTTCGGGGTCAGGGTGACACGGTGACAGGGTGACACACACGGTGACAGGGTGACACGGTGACAGGGGGACCTTAGCGCTCAGCCACGGCTACGCGCGCTGGACCGACATCCAGAACGACGGCGCCTTCGGGGTCATCAACGAACCCTTCAAGGGCGAAGCCTCCAAGGGGAACTTCCTGGAGATGAAAAACAAATTCCTGGCGCGGCGCTTCAAGGTCAGCACACCTGGGGACACCTGGGGGGACATGGGGACACCTGGGGACACCTGGGGACACACCTGGGGACACCTGGGGACACACCTGGGGACACACCTGGGGACACCTGGGGACATGGGGACACCTGGGGGGACATGGGGACACCTGGGGACACCTGGGGACACCTGGGGACACCTGGGGACACACCTGGGGACACACCTGGGGACACACCTGGGGACACCTGGGGACACCTGGGGACATCGTGAGTGACAGGAGGGTGCTGCAGGTGTTGGGTGAGGTCAAGGTTGGACACCTGGAGCCTCCAGATGTTGCCAAGGTCAGGGTCACACCCCCCAACACCTGGAGCCTCCAGATGTTGATGAGGTCAGGGTCGGACCCACCCACACCTGGACCATCCAGATGTTTGGTTTCCTCAGACCCGAACCCACCAACACCTGGAGCCTCCAGATCGGGGCCACACCCCCCAACCCCCCCAACCCCTCCAGCTGTAG